CGGTCCGAAAAACTTCTGCCAAACTAAAGAATATTTGGTCATTCTATAAGCCGCGTGGTTCTTGGTTATGTTGTGGTATGGCCTAAAAAATGAACACAAAAAACCTGGGAAGAAATGGCGCGTTCAAGAAAAAACTGAATGTAAAGGGTGTGGCAACTATAGTTGCCACAATGTCCATTGCGGCGTGCAAAACGCGGCAAACCTAGTTGCCGCGCTGTCGTCAAGGTGTTTAATCCTGCTGCGAATTCTGCTTGGCAGTAAAGATTGGAAGACGAATGTTTGTGGTTCTACTTGTTTCATGTTCAATGTCTATTAGTTCATTGAAATGCTCTTGAATCGTTCCTATTTTTTTTTTTTCAGGAATCAAACCAAACCAATCACAAAAATTGCAAGTGCCCCATTTGAACAATTGAAACACTGGATATGAAACAAGTGGAATCATGAGCAGTCTCCATTAAACCATAACCATCAAGCAGAAGTGACGGCGGGATTGGAGAACACCTTGCAGTATGGATGGGGCACTTGTGATTTCCGTGACCCGTCGCGCAAATCGCGAAAATCGCGCAAATCGCGAAAATCGCGCAAATCGCGAAAATCGCGCAAAGGATCGCGGACTCTGACATCAGCCTGTAAAACTTCAAATTCCTTGTCGCAACTTAGAACCAGAGCAAAAACGTAACGCGCTCCATTCACGCGCCCCTCGTACCGTAGCTGTTTTCCGCTGTGGGAGCGCTGGCCTGCCGCGCGATGTCGCATTGCGAAGCGCGAAAATGTCGCTTTCTGTCCCTGAGTACCAGTTTTCCTGATCATCACATACACGTCTAATGGCAGTGCCAGTGATAAATGCGTGTATAGCGAAGTCCGCTTTATAAACTCGAGAAACAATACTGATTGATCGTCAACCAGCCAAAAAGATTACATTTCTGATCGTGCCTTCGAAATGGTCTTTTGCAAAGGAACAGTCTCAAGAATGTGACGTATTCCAAATGTTTTGAAAGTTATCTCCAAGCCGATTTAGCTTGATTAGAGTTTTCCTTTTGAACAACTCGATATAGAAATTCTTTCATGGGATCTAATTATATTGTACTTAGACTTGCACGACGTAAATATTGAAAAACATAGTCAGTGGCCAAAATATGTTGTTATTCGTCGAAAAAAAAAAAGATAGTGAACGAGGAAATGGCCACCAGAAGAGGACCACTAAATAGCAGTGAAGAAAGAGGTAGGTTAATTTTGCAGAGGATGGATGGTAGACCCTGGAAGAGGAGTGGTTGATGGACGTTCGATGAGACTCACGACAAAGGATCAGTTCGTCAGAGTTTGCTATGATATATAGAGTATTACCTAGGCCGATGAGTGTGTAATTACCTCGTTCACCAATAATTTGAAGTGTTCTAGAATTCTAGAATACCACTTTAACGGCATCGCTCGGAATCGTGTAATTCACAAAACATTTCCATTGATGAGAGAGAATTGGTGATTCACCGCATGTCTCAATACAATGAGTGTGAGCGTGGGCAAGCAATAAATCAGAAACTTACAAATTCACGCATGCGAAAAAAGCTGCTCCAATCGCGCGTTCTTCATACCGTAGTGTTTTCGCTGCGGGAGCGCTAGCCTGCCGCGCGATGTCGCATTGCGAAGCGCGAAAATGTCGCTTTCTGTCCTAAGTACCCACACCCGTGTAGCGAATTCTTTTTTTCGTTTGTGTTGGGCATTTCACTTCCAATTTCGCCACTACTGTTGTATTTCAGATTGTTCCACAAATTCGCACTGCCTTGTTCGGTCCTAACCTGAACAGAAAATTCTTCGACTAATCGAATAGCCTCGAGTGTCGTCTAATAAAATCGCTACAATGGAAGTGTTTTATTATTTCTCACTTGTGGATCTAATTTCCTACCCATGGCATGTTCCGTTCGTGTGGTTTTTTATTTAGACGTAGTTGAGTACTGTTTAGTTCTGTACTGTATTGTATGAGCGTGAGTTTCTCCTTTGCTAGAGACCCGTTTCATTTCTGCCAACCATTCCATGATTGTGCTTGTATGTGATAGAATCCAGTGTTATCCGAACTTGAAAAAATGCGACAATTTCGTCCTCACTTAGAACATGTATAGGCAATTTTTTATTTGTACTTTGTTTTTGTGCGCGTTAAAGAGAAATATTTTGTATCTCGAAATAATCGATAAATATTTGTACGCATTAATTACTTTTGGAAACAAGAGATAGCGTTAACCTCATAAATTGCCTGAAAAGAATGGACGTCTTGCATTTGTTAAGCAAAAGGATCGTGACACTGACGAAACGTGCCCGAAACTGTGGTTTCAACCAACAGGTTATTCATTTAAATGTTTGTAGTACATAAATTTGGCAGTGGTGAAGTGAACCCTTCACCCTTCCAACATTATGAAATGTGATTTAGCTCTGATTTTGGGCGCAAAGTTTAACAGTGCTTGGTGTTTGTTTTCGTTTTTTGGCAAACGTGAGCAGATTTTAATAGTTTTGCGGCCCTAGTCAGTTTCTGCTCAGTGGTGAGACCATCCTTCCTTCCACCTTTCAAAAAGAGATGTTTAATCCTGTCCGCAAAATAGCAGTATTGAGCAAAATAACTCTTAAGTCCCATAAAATGTGAGATAGTGGTTGTTGTTTCACTTTAGCCTCACTTTCTTCAGATTTGGGGCGGGGCCGCGGCGAGCGCGGACGAGTTGGTAGTGCCCGCGAACTGTGCGAGGTAGGTTTGAAAACACTCCATCAGCACAGTTCGCGGGCACTATCAAATCATGAAGAAAGTGAGGGGAGCCTTTCACTTTTCACTCACCGGTTTGGTGCACCTTAGAATGTAATAAGTAAATAAATAAATAAATACTACTTGCGATGACAATTATGAAATTTCAGGCAAAGTTATGAGTCAAATTTGAATCTATCGGGAACTGCATAATTGGTAAAAACAGTTAAACGTAGGCATCGAGACGATAACTCCTTGACAAAACATTGTAATGATAATGATTGTAAATAAAGTAAATAAAATTAAAAATGAAACCGACGTCTTGATTGAGAAGTGAAAAGAGTGCGGGATGCCGTTTTTTGACCGCACACATGACCTCCATAAGGAGAGCATTTGAGGCCGGTTGGTGGCGAACCCGTGGATTTTTTTAGTAGAGAACCACGATCTGCTAACGATTCTTGGATCCACTATTACCGAATCGCTGTATTCACAGAGTCTGATATCGCCCTTCTTCGAGTGTCGTACAGACAGTGAATAATGCAACCGTTGCTACAGACAATGATGGCTTCTGCCATACGAAATGGTTTCTCTGCATGTGTTGCCCCTAAGTTAGTTGGCTCAAACAACGTTGTTTCAGCGGCGTCACTCCTACTTCTCTGTTGCTGTGGATTGGGTTTATTTATTCTAAATTCGAAACTCCACTCAAAAACTGCGTGATGTTGCTGGGCTCGTCAAGAAATTTTGCCTCTAAAACGAAGGTGGCAAGGAAGGTTGCCGCTGTTATGAAGAAGAAGGTAAGTTGCACGAGAGTTGAACATCGAAGAGATCTTGTATCCATGGTCAATTCCAGGTTAAAAGTGCAGTGTATGGTTGTGGATTGTCGGCATCTGGAGCGCTCGCGATCCCACGATTGGTCGTGAATGACTTTGTCACATCTAGAGAAGCACACAAACCCCTACGCATAACTCATATGAACACACGTGGAATTAAACACATAGCAGCTGGATTTGGTTTCTCATTGTTCGCGTCCAAGGACAAACTTTTCGGATCTGGTTTGAACAACAGGTAAGCCTTTTATTCTAGATTTCTTTTCTGTAATGTAAGATCAGTTCTTGATGTAGGAGGCCTTCTCTCCTGTTCTCTGATTTGTATTAAATTTTTCCCTGGGGGTACGAGACGGCGCTTTTGGGCTAGCATCAAGCTTTCTATGGGCGCATTCATAGTCTGCCGTCCGATCGTAGCGGTCGCACAGCGTTAGATACGTGTGGATCGTCCAATGCTCGGACAAGTCTGATGATCGTACGCATCCAATGCCGTGCTATCGTTACGATCGTTGCGATCGGACGACCGACTGTAAATGCGCCCCATGATATTGTTGAAATGTAGTGTTTTTCGTCATCCGTGGTCTGTCGTGCTTGAGCATGTGTGGGGCTAGAATTTTCGGTTGAGGCAAAGTGGAAACGCTGGCACCGGAAGTGGCGCCAAGCGCGCAGCATTTATACCCAAGCGCAACATGCCTAAACAGAGTGATTCATTGCGTAATATTTGCG